TTAAGGGTTTGGGGTTAAGGGTTCAGGGGTTTTAGGGTTCAGAGTTAAGGGTGGGCATTTGCCCACCTCTTACGCGGGACGGGAGAGTTTCCATCAATTGGGGTCCTACGGGTCCCAAACATATGGAATATAACATGTTGGGGTACATATCAGGTAGATGGGCGGTTCTCAATTTTTTTTTAAATCCCTATTATAATACGGCACCTCGTATTTAGGGTACCCAAAAAGGGACCATAAATTTGACAACCACCCATATAGGGGAATCCCATGGGTTGGAGCTACCTATGTAGCAGTTTGCTAGGATTGCAGGCCACTTGGGGCTTAAGGCTTATAGGTCAAGGCAACAGGCCAGCTGAGTTGTGCTAAGCTTCATTGAATTCGGGCTGCTGTGGGGATGAAGTCTGAACAGGATTACAGAGTTTTCCGCAGAGAACATACCTTGGAGACCTGCAGCACATTGCCACCTATTCCGTAATCGAGATATAGTAGTCTCCCAATATAAACCCTAATAGACTATAATCCTTATTATGGGACCCCTCATAGGGTACCCCTAATTTTGGGAAACTTCCATATGTTGATGCCAGTTGCTGCGAAACTTTTTGCAATCCTCGCCCCAAGGCATTGCAAGGGGCTTTGAAAATGTGAAGGACGATGTGCTAGTGGTTAGTTTAGCGAGGACACTAAACCCTAAACCCTACAAACCCTACAAACCCTAAACCCTAAACCCCTAAACCCTAAACTCTAAAGTCTAAAACCTAAAGCCCCAAGCAAGTCTCTTGGGGCCTGGCTTTGTGCAGCATGGCCCCTGCTTGCAGGCTCGGAAGTTCGCCGCCTTCTGCGATTGCCGCATGGTCAGCGTGGTGGGCGGCAGAGATGCCGAGCAGCAGGCAGAGACCACGGGAGGGGTTTGGGGTTTAGAGGTTTAGCATTTAGGGTTTAGGGTTTTGGGGCTAAGATTCTAGTGTAGTTGTCCTAGACCACGGGAGGTTTGAGGAGTTTGGGGCTGAGAGTGTAGCTTTGTCACTGGTCGCCTTTGGACGGGACGTGACAAGTTTCAAGTACCCGCACCGACAACAAGCAAGATTGATAGGTTTCATTCTGTCCCAATATCCAACAGCCGGTACTGGCACCATTGGAAGTAGTGTTTGTCTTCTGTTGTTCACTGTTATGTGGTGTAGAAGCCTCAGCCCAAGATGTTTAGGGTTTAGGGTCTAGCGTTTTTAGGTTTTAGGGGTTAGGGTTCAGGGTCTAGCGTTTTTAGGATTTAGGGGTTGGGGTTTAGGGTCTATAGGGTTTGGAGTTTGAGGTTTAGGGTCTAGGCTCTGCAGTGGCTTTTACGGTGCTGCGCTGGTCAGGCTTTCACTCTGCGACAAGGTGTGGAGATATGTATGGCCAGCGCCTCAGCCTTCCGTTGATCATGCACTCCGATCCCCTCAGGAAGGATTTTTTTTTAAATTTTAAGTGCAGTATCACCCGGAGGAATCATTACAACATACCATTGTATATTATAGGTCCAAGAAGGCTAATGCAGACCCCTAGAGAAATCTCACTCCCCCTTAACGGGGAAATTATTATAGGGATCCTAATACTAAGGCCCTTAAAAGGACGGGGTTTCTTAATCATGGGTCTGCATTATAGTGAAAGGATCCCCTCAACCCTAAACCCGCAAAGATGGAACCTGAGGCCACGCCTGGTCGTCTTTGCGACTCGTTGGACAAAAGGCGCCGGCCTTGATGTCGAGGGTTGTGACACTGGTGGTCCCGTTTTGGGATACCTTAGGGTCTAGGGTTTAGGGACCTGAATGTGAGGGTGCATCCTATTTTTTAGGGTTTTGGGCTTTGTGGGTATCTTCGATATCAGGGCCCATATTATATCAGGGACTCAAATGGGGACCATAATTTTGACAACCTACCACGTGCTGTCCGAGAAGCCGGCATGCAGGCGGAGTTTGTTTCTCTCGATGACAATGTTGGCTGTCAGGCATACGGTGCTCAACCAGTGTACATATGTGGTCATCGATGAGGCGAGTGCGTTTCCGGGGCGGGTGTTTGTGAGTTGCCGCCCTAAGCCCTAAACCCTATAGATTAAAAGCATCCAAAATTTTCAGAGGCCCTACGGATTCCTCTTATCCTTTCGTGCTCCGGGTATGCAGTCCAAATAGCATCCTCCAGAACAAGTCAAGAGCATAGTTCTGGGCCCTGAACTGAACAGCAGAATACATGAGCCAGAATCTAAACTCCATAAGGGGGTTCTATAAGGGATCATGTAGCAGATTACAATAGGGGTGATTAAAGGGGATGCTAGGACCTTAGACTAGCTCACATGGAGGCCGACAAGATGGTGGACCTCGGATTCGAGGCGCCCTGGGAAGAGAGCCATGAAGGTTAGAATTCTACGCACCAAAGGTTCATGCTGTCGTAGGGCTTGTAGGAGACGCCATGTGGGTTGTTGTCAAAATTATGGTCCCTTTTTGGGTCCCTATTATAGTACGGCACCTAATACTTAGGGTACCCAAAAAGGGGCCATAATTTTGACAACCACCCATGTGAAGTGAAGAATCATGGTGCCACGTTGACCATGTGACGGCGACAGAGCTTGGAATGCACTGCAAACCTTTGTACAGCGACCTTCCTCCTGCTGCGCACAGGAACCCCAATTTTTGAGACCTCATGCGACTGGGTGATGCTCGGAGTCTTCCACTCGATGTAGTCCTATTCTTTGGCACCCCTGAAGGTTGATAGGACCTCCATGAATTTTTTTAAGGCTCAATTAGGTTGAACTGACTTGGGGGGGGTAGTGGAACCCATTCTTTGGAATTTAGTGTTCAGGCTTTAGACCCTAAACCCTAAACTCTGAACCCCAAACCCTAAATCCTGTTGTTAGGGCATCCCTGAGTTCATGGAATGCCAGGACTACGTCCGCCGTGTGTTGCTGGCCATCCCAGCCTCAAACATGAAGGCGGACAAGGAGGATGATGCCGAAAAGCAGGAGCGCTGTGGGGTTCTGGGTTTCAGGGTTTAGGGTCAAGGGTTTAAGGGTTTAGGGTTAAGGGTTCAGGGTTCAGGGTTTAAGGGTTTAGGGTTTAGGGTTTTGGATTATGGGTTTAGAGTTTCGGGTTAAGGTTTTAGATGTCAGTGATTCAGGGTTCAGGGGTTTGGGTTTAGAGTGAAGAAGGAGGAAACATCCAGAAAGGGGCCTGTGGCTTTGTCACGGAATCTAGGGCTTGTTTTGCAACCTTGGCCTACGCCGCACTTGTATGAGAAAGGCTTTCCCCAAGATGTGAAGGTTGCATGCAGCACCAGCCCTGCATTAGATAAAGGGCTGACGATGCAGGTCCTGTACGGATGAATCCGGTTGTGTTGAAAGGGCGTGCCTGTGGAATTTTTTCCAGGCTGAGAGAAGTACAAAGCGTGGACAAATGAGCTGCAGTCTAAACTCCTAGTAGCCCTTAATAAGCGCTATAATGCTCGCCTACACAACCCCCTTTAAGAAGTTTAGAATATAGCTCACATGCATGCGCAGCTTCAAACCCTCCTTTCCACACTGAGTTTTGGTTCGGAGCAAGCCTTCCAAATCACAAGTCACACCCCAGCCTCCGGCTCGTTGTGTACTACGTTTACACCCAAAACGGGCCCATGATTTTGAGAAGAACCCCAAGCGTTTTCCCCATGGCAGGAGGAGGACGCCAAAGTCGGAAAGAGGAAGTACCGAATCACTCAGATGTTCAGGCAGCTGTGTTGCCTGCAATTCTTGCGTGCCAGGCGATTGAATTGGACAGTGTGTGCTCCAGTTAAGACTCTAAGTCCGCCCCAACCGCCAAACCCTTCATGCCGTATTTCATCCGTGCCGGCAGTCGTTCAATGTCATGCTGTTTGCTTGGATGTCCGTACCTGTATGTAACAATGCCTGAGCTGAAAACTATTGAGCTATAGTCTAAACTCCTTAAATGGTGTTATTTAGACGATTATATAGGGAAGTACTATAGGTGTTACTAAGGGGGGTATTAGGAGATTAGACTGTAGCTCATTGGCTTCTCTGGCAGTGCGACAATGCCGCCAGCCATTGAGCGCATGGCCCGCAGCTTCTTGCGGCACGGACCCTGGAGAACTATCGTCCCCCTGAAGTAGATAGAACATGGCTTTTGGGTATATTTTAATAAGATCCGGAAAACCCCATATTCTACCTACTTAAGGGAGACTATATCTTTATCAGTCTTGCAGACCATGGCACTGCCAATGGTAGTGGTCAATATTCAATATACGGGCACTGGTGATGATTATTCTAACAGTTGTCAGTCAATGTTTTAGTTATCACTATCGGCATCACCATTATGCAGATGACCATGGTTACTGCTAGCTTTTTGTGGTAGCTGGTTGTAGATACCGTAACCCCTGAACCCTAAGGTAGTTGGTGGTCGATACTCATCGCCCATCACCAACGAAAGATTTCAAGCATGGTGGAGGGACATATGGGGACTTCCCCAAATTTAGGTGTACTCTTTGAAAGGTCCCTATAAGAAGGATAACAGTATTTTGGGGTCTATATTGGGGTTCCCGTTTTTTTTTTTTTTAAGTTACAATGTTTCATGGGAATTTCACATCCAGGTGCCCGGCGATCATCAACGTCGGTGACCCAGGTCAGGCAAAGAAGGCCCCGGCGGAACAGGGTTCTCACAAGCAGCATAGGAGCTGTAGCCTAAACTCCTTACAGGGGGTTATATCCGGGATTATTTACATGGGAGTATTATAGGGGTTTTTACGGGTGATACTTGGGGTTTTAGACTATAGCAGCAGATCATAGCGACAGCGCTGTCAAAATTGACTTGAACATCCAACATAGCATGGCATAGCATGGCATGGCATTCATAGCAAAGCATTACAAAATTCAACATACAGCACGCTTGAAAGAAGAGCAAATGACAAAGCTGATTGCCTTTGCGGCCAGGACATCGAGCAGCAGCTGGAGTTCATCAGCGAGGCCTACTACTATTCATTATTACTATTCCTGCTGCTGCTGTTGCCACTCTTCTTACGGCGCTACTGTTATTATTCTTCTGCTTGTTAGGTACAGTTTATTGTTAATTGCTGCATCATGGTGGTCCCAAGGCCAAGAAGAAGAAGCGGCTGGAGGAAATGCTGGTGGGCGCAGAGCCTCCTATCATCGCAGGGGCACCAAGAGAACAAGCCTGTTCTGCTACCTGTGGCAGAGTTCTGCTTGGCAGCTTTGCCTAAACCGGCCCTTAGGTGTTTGTTAACCAGAAGAAGGCTGTGGATGTGCTGTCCAAGCTGGGAGCCTAATCAGCGCTTGCAAGGGTCTGCTTTGGCCCATGTGAATCTGCTGGCAGGTCTCTTGACAACAATGGTTACCGTGTTTGCTCCATCCATGGTGGCAAGAGCCAGGCGATTGGGTGGGTTCTGACAGGCAAGACAGATGATGCTGGGTAACTCCCTAAGCCCTAAACCCCAAACCCTAAACTTCAGCCAAGCCTCCTGAAACCTTAGCTTTCAAGCAGTGAACGTGCAGTTGTGAGAAGCCTGAAGGAGCAACGAGAGTGGGCCATGAACTCCTTCAAGGAGGGGAGGCCGGACTTCTTGAACTGGGGTTTAAGGTTTAGGGTTTAGGGTAGTTAACTGCTGTGGGCGTACGACGTGATTTAGACCATACCCTGCAGTCCTATTTGGAATGCCACTTCTCGTTCATGCTCGCTTTGCGCATTTTTCCGCAAACTTATGCTTGGTCTGCTTGAAAGATGAGGACGCCGGCCAGGCTGCAAAATATTTAGATCCTTTTAATAGGAGTATCAAAACGGACTCCACCCACGAGTCTGTAGCAGGTACGACATTTTGGTGGCTACCGATGTTGCTGGTCGCGGCCTGGATATCGAGGGCGTGCAGCGCGTGATCAACTTCGATATGCCGAAGACGATCGAGGTCGAAGCTCGTTCCGGCTTGAAGATTCCACAGTCGCAGAGTTTAAGCCCTCTAATACAAAACATCTCAAAGGACCAACCCTGAACCCTAAACAGTGTATATACATAATATATGCATATTATATATATATATACACACCTTAAATCCCAAGCCTGAACCTGTGGAGCTTTGGCTGGACTCTGCCAGGACTACACCCACCGAATCGGACGAACGGGCCGTGCGGGTTTGAAAGGCGGCTTAGGGTTTAGGGTTTGGGGTTTAGGGTTTGGGGTTGAGGGTTTGGGGTTTAGGGAGGTTGTTTCGGTGCTGTACCCCATGCACCAGTAGGAGTCTTCTTGCTGAAGCCTGCCCTGCAGTTATTGCATCCTAGCCTTCCTCCTGGGGAATTTCAGGCTTGGCGATCTCCTTCGTCACGCCGGAGGATCCACTAGGGGTCATATAAGTTACATAGGGTTTATGTAGGGATATATATAGATATACATATATATATATATATACGCCATAGGGCTTAGGACTTTCCCAAATTTTCTTTTTTGGGGCCTTAATAAATAGTATGTGCTGTAGTATTTCACTTTACTTTACGGTCTATATTGGAGTTCCCCTTGTTTTGGGAAGCTAGCACATGTGTCAGGAGGTTCTTGGAGCCATTTCTGGTTTCAGGACTCCGAAATCTTCTACGACCTCACCAACTTTCTCAAGAGCTCCAACCAAGTGGCGCGGCTGGCGGGAATTGCCGCTGGTGGTTCGCGTCCAGACGTTCAACTGAAAAAGCAAGAGATAGATGAGAGTTGGCCGTCTTATTCTGTGGCGAAAAATGAAGCAGAGGGGAATATGTAATATGAACTTGTCCCAAGTAATTACTGAAGATGACCTTCATACTCCACTAGTGCTATTCCCATGTATTCCTATACAGTAGAAGCCCAACAAATAGCCAACATGATGGCCCTAGATTTCCGTGCAAAACTATAGCATGGTACCTCAAACGGATTTCTACATCACATATACACCCTAACCCCTACACCCTAAACCCTAAACCCCAAACCCTAAACCCACTGAGATGCTCGTACGGCCCCCAGTTGCAGCCAGGTGCCTCCGGAGTTGGCCTCACATCCCGCCTCAAAGCCCATGAGCCCAGAAAAGTGGGCTTCGGATAGGATTAGGGTTTAGATTTAGGATTTAGGGTTTAGGGTTTGGGGTTTAGGGTTTAGAATTTAGGGTTTAGGATATAGGTTTTAGGATTCAGGGTTTAGGTTTTAGGGTTTAGGGTTTAGGATTCTGGGTTTGTAGGGCTGTGGGTTTGTGGCAGGAGGGTGGATAGAGGGTGAGCTCAGAGCCTGTTCTAGTTGGAGTGCTGCCAATAAACCCCTACATGTACATAGTCCCCCTTAAGTAGATAGAATATGGGGTATATGGGGATTTTATTATAGTATACCCAAAGCNNCAAAGCCATATTCTATCTAGTTTAGTGGGACTATATATACTGTATATATGCCCTTCCATATAATTCAGTACTTCACATATACTCTTCTATGTCCCTATGTACCCCTCTATACATACTCTTTTATATCCTTATATACCCTTATATATACTCTTCTATATCCTTCTATACCCCTATACAGATCCCCAAACCCCCAAACCCCCAAA